ATGTTACACACTGCACTTTTAAGTGCTAAACTGCAGCATCTATATCTCTGGGTTCTTAGTAGCTGGTTGTTTTCAGTCTTCATTTCATCATAAATTCTCCCATCATCCTCCCTTTCTTGCGCATCCACTCATCTGTCGCAATCTCCTCCCCTCCTTGGTCCATCTGTGCCGGTGTTTTTCTCCTCATTAGAGAGGTTACTGATGCATGAGGGAATGGGCTGGCAGGTCAGTAGCCACAAACACAAAGCGGGATTCATATCGAACAGCCTGTGAAAAGTTTCTCGGTCTGACAAACAGAAAAAAGTTGACCAGCAAGCTCTTGAAATTTCTGAGATTTTCCACGTCACTGAACATCTATCAAGAGATGCTGCATAAAGAAAACTATTTCTTTTTTTAGTGGTACTTGCAGTTCTTGCTTATTATTGCTTATTTTTGCCAGCTGAAACCTATACTGGCATTGAAAATAATCATGCTCGACATGTTGTATCTCCCTTTTCCAGACTTGGCCAGGGCTCTACATAGTTCCCCCCAGTGTCTAGTAAATTCCCTGATCACCAGGAATGCAGCATTTAATTTTCTTGTTCTTTAGCTGACCTTAATCATTTCTGCGTCAAGGGCAATTCGAAACTCCAGAGCCATGGGGATCAGTCAGTCTGGGTGTGGAAATAAATACCTGTGTGTGTGTGTGTATAATATACACGTATATGTAAAAGGAAGTGGTGAGGCCTGTCTTGCTGTCTTCATGAAGAGGCCTTTTAAAGCGCTGATGATGAATAATAGGTTGGCTGAATGTGAGCGAGTGAGTCCCTCTGGTGTATATTTAAATGGCGGAGAGATGCTCTCTCACTCATATCAACCACCACATCACAGTGAGCACACATACACACTGCCTGTTTTCAGGAAAGACTTCAGTCTGTTTATAGAACCATGAGAATCCTTTTGGCCTTTCTGTCAAAATGCTTCAGTAAGCCTCTCTCAAGCCAGGCACCTTGATTTTACCATCTGTTGGTTTGCACATAAATCACCGCCAAGTTTGAGAAAAGAGTAACTTTTTCGACTTAAACTTTATGACATGTTTGCTACATTGCTTTTTCCTGCAACCCTGTGGTGTTTGGATGGAGCAGTTCTTCTCTTCTTTATGTGTAATCACGTG